CAACACTGTAAGACTTTGACTCAAAACGGGGGTTGAAGGAGGCGGCTTCCACAAATTTCCAGAAAGGCATATAGGGAAAAATAACTGAGCAGAGCTGTATAAACTAAAACTCAAGGGGCCAGGGATTTAGCTCAGTGGCACTGTGCCTGCCTGGCAAGCACAAGGACCTCAGTTCTATTCCCGGTACAGGTGGGGGGAGGCTAAACAAAAAAAACCACCAAAAACTCAGGTGCAATACAGAGAGGTTTCAGATGATAAGCAAGTGTAGCCCAGCTACAGAAAAAAGCACTAAGTCTTAGTCACAGAGGTACCAAGTACCTCAGAGGTCACATATAAAAGTCTGAGAACTGCCATCTCACCTCCACAACATAAAGTTCCTAAAATAAATGAGAGGTTTAGTCTCAGGAGAAACCAAAAAGAGGCTCTGAACTAAGGGACCAGAAAGAGGGGTAGATGCAACTACCTACTTAATTATGGTTCCTCCAGGCCTCTTCTCTGGCCAGCTCTAACTAAGCATAAGACAAACAAGCTTCCACCCCCACAAAGGAGACTGGAAGGCTTCTGTGAAGGCTGAACAGAATCACAGACAGGGCTGCCAAGAACTAATTATGAGGGGCTTCTCAGTCCCATCCGTCAACAAGCCCAAGCATGCACACCAACCTTCCAATAAGGTTTTGAGTATGTACCATATTGGAAAAAAAAATTTTTTTTTCTTTGTTAGTTTATGTACCATATTGGAAAAAAAAAATTTTTTTTTTGCTTTGTTAGTGTTCTGTTAACAAATTCACCCCAAACCCACCAGTTTAAAAGAACAACAGTCATCTCGTAGTGAGTTTGACTCAAGGTCTCTCACGGATTTACAACAAACCTGTCAAGCAGAGCTGCAGTCATCTCAGGGATCAGCAATCTTGTGTTTGTGAGCTGGGGATTGAACCCAGGACCTTCACACTGAGCTGTATCCCTAGCCAGCTCCCCAACCTGTATTTCTTTTGGTACCAGGGATCAAACTCAGGACACCTTGCACTTTCAAGGCAGGCAGCAGAACCACTGAGCTAAATCCCCATCCCTCACCCCATCCTTTTTGATACAGAATTTCACTAAATCACTAAGTTGCCTAGGCTGGACAGGAATTTCCTGCCTCAGCCTCCAAGAGTGCTGGGAAGACAGGCATGAGCCACCACACCCAGCCATTTACCTTGCTCTTCCTAGGTCTCGATTCCTGACTGATTACAGGTCAGAGGCCTTTCCATCTCTAGCTACTTGTACCTCTCAATTGCTTGCCTGAATGTCCTCAAAACAGTAGCCACCAGTATTGCAGTGCACACCTATAATCCCAGCACTTGGGAGGCAAAAGCAGGAGGACTGCTGCAAGTTTGAGGCCAGCCTAGTTATATAGCAAGATTTTGTAAAAAAAAAAAAAAAAAAAAACATCTAGACACTGACTATGAATAAGAGCAATCCAAAAGAAAGAGACAAGATACAAATGAGTGAAAAAGCACCCTCAGTCAAAGCCACTGTTTAATTTCACAGCCATCATATCTGCTATCTGCTGTTGGTTACATAGTTCAGCCCAGCTATGACGTGGAAGTGGATGACTCATGGATATGAATACCAGAAATGGGGGCTCCCAGGGCCCTCAGGGTGTCTGTTTACACAGGCTACCCTATGGGGCCCAAACATCTGTGCCTCCTGATGTTCGCTGAGCTGTGCAGGACTCTCTAACATTTAACCTGGTTTAGTCTGCAGGACCAGTAGCATACAGCAAAAATGATGCTACCTCGCTTCCAGGATTGGGCTATGAAAAACCCTGCAGCTTCCATTTGGGCATATATACTGGTCTCTGGCAAGAGGGCAAATAGGTACCACATCTTCAGGATACTCTGAGGCTCACCAGCTGAGGAACTGAGGACTCTTGTTCAACAGCTCTTAAGATATCCAGGCTGAACAACAAGAATAAGTCTGAAAGCAAATCCTTCAGCCAAAGTTGAGCCTTCAAATCACTGCTGCCCTGGCCAATATAGTGACACAGCCTCAACACAGACCCTGAGCCGGAACCAGCCAACTATGCCATACTCGCAAATTCTTGGCAACCCCCCAAGACTCCGTGGAATAAGGAACATGTGTTTTAAGCAGTCAAGCTTAGTGGCAATTTGCTGCACAGCAATAGATAACTTTATTAAAGCTTTTTTTAAAACTAGTGAAGGCATCGCTTCTCAACCTTTTAGCTAAGATCAAGTGTAAAATCTAGTAAAGGCGATTCAGGTTTGTTATCAAAATCTTAAACTGTGCAGAATACCAAAAGTGAGCCAATCCAGTCTCCCACAATAGTTAGAATTTAGAATATCTGTCTAGACTTTTTTCTACTCCTACAAAGAGATGAGCTTCTCAATGTCTTATTCTTAATATATAGTCAAAGATTACCTAAACTGAAGAAAAGTCTCCATCACAAAGGAAAAAGACCACAATAAACAATTTTAAAAAGAATCCAGGAGATAATGTAAGAAACAGAAATCTTAAAAAAAAAATAAAACAAAACAATTTCTAATGGTTAGAGAGGCAAGAGGAAAAAATCGCATCCATTAGAATAAAAGGTGACATAATAATAATAATAATTTACTAACACAAAATATAAAAAGTAGACTTAAAAGCCTCCAGCAAGGAAAAAATCTGATGACATCAGTAAGAAAGACGCCTTGGGTGAAGGATGCCCTTAAAACTCCCAAAGAAAATGTTACACTAATCAATAAGGTGTGACAGGAAAAAATTTTAAGAGTATCAGACATACACAAAGATTCAAAAGCCCTCTAATACATGCACTTATGTACTGTTTATTTTAGGAAGCTAATGAAAGGTACGCCCTAGAACAAATAGAGTAGTATTGGGCATGCTGATGCACACCTGTTTACCTAGCACTTGGGAGGCTGAGGGAAGAGGACGCTGCAAGTTCAAGGCCAGCCTGAGCTACAAAGCAAGACTCTTATCTAAAAAAAAAAGAACAGTTTTGAGAGACAGAAAATGAGAGATCTAGAACAGGAAAAATTATAATCAAATTCTAGGAAAACAACTAGCAGGAGCTTTACAAAACAAACAAGCAAACAAAATGGGCAAAGAAAAACAGAAATTTTCCCAAAGATAAACAAATGGTCACAAGTGGTGAAAAGATGCAAATATTATTGGTCATTAGAAAAATGCAAATCAAAACCATAATGAGATATCAATTCACATCCACTAGGACAGCACTAACTTTAAAATGGGCTGGGTGTGGTAGCACACACTTGTAATCCCAGAGGCTGAGGAGGGTGAGACAGCTGCTGTAGAAAACAGTTCCGTTCGTTTCTCAAAAAGTTAAAGCAGAATGACCATATGACCCAGCAATTCCATTCCTCTGGGTACACCCAAGAGAAATAAGATTCCACAAAAAAAGTTTGTTCCTGAATGTTAACAAGCAGCACTAGACAAAAATGGAAAGAATCCAAGTGTCCATCAACCAATAAATGTTGAAACAGAATGAGGCATATTCATACAATGTGGTAATGTTACTACACTACAAAAAGGAATGAAGATCTAAAACATGCTGCTGCATGAATCTGAGAGACTAGAAAGACCCAAGGACTGAAACAGGAGGACTTTATTTCAGGTTTAAGGTATACACTGGCTCAATGGACTCTTATCCAAAGGAAGAGCACTGAACAAAGAGAACTTCCAGCTTTTATACGTTTTTGTCAAAAGGGATGGTTTTTCTAGTGACAAGCAATTTTACCCCAACAGGACAAGGGCAGACAGTTTTGGAACTTTGGTTTGAAAAAAGACAGCGTCTTATGAATCATATGAGAACGGAGTGTCATAAACTTTGTTTACAGGACATAATTGTCAATTTTATCTGTATTAGAACAAGGAGTTACAGCTACAGGGAAGAGAAGAGTGATGGGGGGACTGGCCAAGGCTGGGAAAGACCTGTTTTTCTTTAAGTCCTGCTTCAATGCTACTATAAATGAACAGCAAAAGTATTATGCTAGCAGAAATAAACCAATATAAACTTAACAGATCACAAATTTTTATAATATGATTCTGTTTTTATGAATAGGGTTTTCATTGTAGCATGATGAAAATGTCTTCAATGTCTTCATGATAGGTGTACAATACACTAGCAGTCCCTAAATTGTATACTTGAAAATGACAATACATGATCATGTTACATAAAACTTACTTCCATTAAAAAGTAGTTGTTCCTGGGATCAAAATTTGGGGTATGCAAAAAAGAGACAGATTATACTTTCTCATTATTAATTCTTTTTACTACTTAATTTTTCCAAGTATCAAATGATGTAGATAACTAGATAATGAACTGATTTCTCAGTTAACAATACTGAAAATTACTATTAAGAGGGAAATAATGGAAATTCATAGCTTTGAAATAATAGGTTTTTTTTTTTTGAGACAGCATCTAAGTTACACAAAATGATCCCAAATTTGTAGCCCTCTGGCCTCAGCCTCCTGAGTAGCTAGGATTGTAAGTGTTTGCCAAGGCTCTTGGCTTCTGTATATTTCCTGACCATTCTAATCATCTTTCTTTCTTGTGCCACCATGTTACAGTTGTATTACAGATGCAGTTCATTAATAGTAATTCAAAATTTTAGGAATTTAGTCATTAGGTAAATCATATGTACAGTACTTCCTCTTTTAAATTAATAAATAAGGGGTGGAGCTGTCACTGAGTACTTGCCACAGCCCTGCATTCACTCACTGGCAGCCCAAACATAATAATAATGTTTTAAGGGAAAAGCAGCAATAGGAATGAATAAAATATGTCAAGTTTCCCAGGCAAAATTGTGGCCAATTCCTCAATAAATAATGATAGCGTATTTGCTAGTAAGAGATTTAAATTTCCTGAGTTTTCCTCCAGCAGAAGGTATTATATGGTAAATTGGTTTCTACAGTTCTCATCAGTTCTTCTTCAGATAGAAGTTTTGTATTGTACATATGGAGAGTTTAATACTCACTTATCCAGGAAATCTTTGTCCACTACAGCAGAGATGTCAAGAAGAGGATTTCCCATTCCAAAGAGAACATTTTCACTAAAAAAAAAATATAAAATACAAGCAAGTTAGAAATACTTCTCAAACTAAATTAAAATGTAAAATTCACGCAAATTTCAAGATAAATAGCTATATTTCATCTTGAAAAAAACATACTAGTTTATTAAACCTTTTATTTCCATATTATATGCAAGGCAATATTTTAGACAGAATATGTAGCCATTTAGAAAAAAAGGTCTTTTTTTTTCAGGGACTGGAGCTTGCCTGGCAGACACCACACACTGCTGAGCTACATGCCCAGCACCTATTGTTTTGTTTTTGGAGACAGCAATTCAGGCTGATCTTGAACTCACTACATAGCTGAGGCTGGCCTTGAACTCACCGTGATATAGGCATGCACCACCACACCTGCTTTGGTTTGGTTTTTGAAACAGAGTCTCACTATGTAGTTTACGATACTCGCTATCAACCTACTATGTAGCCCAGGCTCACTATGTAGTTCAGGATGGCCTCGAATACACACACCTTCCTGCCTCAGCCTTTGAGTGCTAGGATTACAGGCACCCACTACAATGTCCAGCTAAAAAAGGTGACTTTTTTTTTGTTTGTTTGTTTTGTTTTGTTTTGTTTTTTGAGATAGGATCTCACTATGTAGTTGAGACAGACCTGGAACTCACTATATAGCCCAGGCTGATCTCGAACTCACAGTGATCCTCCTGCCTCAGCCTACTGAGTGCTGGGATTATAGGCATGCACCACCACGCCCAGCTAAAAAAAAGTGATTTTTAAATTGGATGAAATATAACAAAGAAACCAGATCATGTGGGGTTGTGTTTGTTTTTTTGGCAGGGTCTCCCTTTTTTAGAGTAGATTGGACTTGAACTCACTATGTAGCCCATGCTGGCTTTCAACTCCTGGCAATCCTTCTGCCTCAGCCTCCCAAATGCTAAGATTGTAGGCATGTGCCACCACACTATCATGTTATTTTTTTGCATAATATTCAACAGCGTGTAAATTTCAATATTCTTTTTCTAGTAAAAAAGGGGGGGGGGACTAAAGCCAGGCATGGTGGCACATACCTGTAATCCCAGCACTCCAGAGGCCGAAGCAGGAGGATGGCCATGAGTCCAAGGCCAGCCTGGGCTACACAGTGAGTTTAGGCCAGCCTGAACTACATAGAGAGACCCTATCTCAAAAAACAAAACAAAAACAAAACAAAAAAGACTAAAAATTATTCTACAAACAACAAATTCTACATATATGCATGATTTTAAAAAGTAAATAAACATGATTAACTAATTCTCTAATAAAAGTCTAAACTCAGCACTCTGGAAGGATGAGTTAGGAAGATCCCAAGTTCATGCTCCTGGGCAATTTAGCAATTTAGCAAGATCCTCCCTCAAAACAAGAAAAAATAAGGGGAAGGGCTGTATTCCTTTATCTTTCCATTCACTCCTTTATTTTCCTTTTCATTCACTCTTTTTTTTTTTTAAGAATCTAGTTCAATATTGAGTCATATTTAACCACCACCAGAATTAAAGTGAGATTTCCATCACAATTCTAAAAAATATCCTAGCCAGGTGTGGTGGCGCACGCCAGTAATCCCAGCACTCAGGAGGCTAAGGTAGGAGGATTGCTGTGAGTTTGAGACCAGCATGGGCTACATAGTGAGTTCCAGGTCAGTCTCAACTACATAGGGAGACCCTGTCTCAAAAAAAAAAAAAAAAATCCTACTCCCCTACATCAACCCCTCCAGTTCTAATTGTGCCCTCTTGGTGTAAAGGAATTTGATAGTGACACTACATTTCCCCACCACCACCACCACTTCTGGAGATTGGAGCCAGGGCCTTGCACAAACCAGGTGAAAGCTCTACTACCGAGCTATCTCCCCAGGGTGTGACACTTCATATTTAAGAAGTCCATCCTTGAATATCTTTGAATCATCTCCTATATAGTTTAGTATAACACACTTGAAATTTATGCAAAGAGGAGAACAAAGATAAACCAAAGAATTAACTCTAAGAGCTAAAAAAAGTACGTAAGAGTCAAATAATTTGCAACTGAGTCTCAGTGCCTGAGGTAGCTGGTTTAGATGAGCAAACAACAAAACATCTCTGGGCATCGAGTTTCTACAGTCAAAGAAGTGCGGGGAAAAAGGTAAGCAAGCTGAATTACATTCCTAGCCTTAAGTCCCAGAATAGCTTTTCTAGATATATATATATGGACAAAAACATATTTATACAAAAAACAGGAATCTACTGGGACTGAGGGGCTCAAATTTAAAACAAAGACTTTATTGCTGTTTTTGTTTTCATTAAGTTTATTGGTACATTTTAGGTATATAGTACAGTTACACTCATCATTGGGATCTTGTACCTTTACATGACAGGTCTTGGTTCTTATTTTTTCCCTACCCACTCTCTCCCTTTACCCACTCCACCCTTCCCTATTTACAAAGACTTTGTTTCCATTTTCTCCTTTTCTCATATTTTTTTCTTTTCCCTTCTTTCCTTTCCCATACCCTTCCCACTTCTCCTACTCCTTTAGCCCTTTTCTTCCTATTTCACATTATCAATATACAGTTTGAACCTTCTTTACACTTTTGCACAGAGAAAACTATTCAGTATTTACACGTGTCCTATTTATTTCACTGAAGAGTATGGGCTCAAGGGCCAGGGATTTAGCTAGTAGCGCCACCGCCTGCCTTGAAGCACAAGGAAACCAAGTTCAATCACTGGTACCAAAAAAAAAAAAGTATGGCCTCAACATGCATCCATTTAGCTATAAATGTCTCTAGTTTCTCCCTGTTTATGGCTCAGTAGGACTGCATTTTATAGAAAAACCACATCTTCTTTGTCTAGTCTCCAGTTGATGGGAAATTGGGCTGTTTCCAAGTTTTAGCTATGACAATCTGTGCCTCTACAAATATGGATATGCATATATCTCTGTGGTGTGATTCTTTTAATTCTTTTGGAAAGATACCTAGCAGAGGAATAACTGGGTCAAATGGAACCTCTAGTCCTAGTTTTTTGAGGTATCTCCGTATTGATTTCCACAGTGGTCGTACCAATCTGCACTCCCACCAACAATGGAGGTGGTTTCCTTTCTCCCCACAACCTTGCCAGCATTTGTTATTGGTTGATTGCTTTGCTTTGCTTTTTGGTACTGGGGATGGCAGGCAGCGGCACCACTGAGCTAAATTCCAGGCCCCTGGCCCTTGACTGATTTCTTCATTGCAGCCATTCAATCTAGGGTGAGATGGAATCTCAGTGTTGTTTTCATCTGCATCTCTCAAATGACCAGTGATGTTGAACTTTTTTTCATATATTTATTTGATACTTTTACTTGTTTGAGAATTATCTGTTCATTTCAGATGCCCATTTTTGAATCAGGTCTTTTTATTTGGGGGAGCTCTGATTTTTTTTTTTTTTTAGTTCTTTATATATTCTAGATAGTAGACCTTTGAGGAACAGCTGGCAAAACTTTTTTCCCATATTGTGGGTTGTCTCTTAGTTCTGTTGATGGTTTCTTTTGCAGTGCAGAAGCTTTTTAATAAGATGAGATCCCAGTTGTTGATTCTTTCTGCTAGTTCCCGTGCTACTGAGGATTTGTTCATAAAGTCTTTTCCTATGCCAGCGTCTTCAAGAGTTCTACCTAACTTACCTTCCTGCAAGTTTAGTGTTTCTGTTTTAATATTTAGATTTTTTAGTCCACTTCAATTTTAGTTTAGTGCATGGTGAAAAATAAGGGTCTAATTTTAATCTTTGGCAGGATGAAATCCAGTTTTTCTAACACAATTTCTAGAAGAGGCTATCTTTCCTCCACAGAGGATGGGTGGCTCCTTTGACAGAGGTTTTTAAAATATATTATTAAGAATGAGGACCAAGCCAGGCATGGTGGTGTACACCTGTAATCCCAGCACTCAGGAGACTAAAGCAGGAGGATCACCAGCCTACATAGTGAGCTCAAGGCCAGCCTACACTAAAATATATTATTAAGAAAAAATACAGGGAAAAAATAAAAGAGAGAATGAGGATCAAAATGGCAGAGTAGTGATCAGCATCAAAATTCAGCCCCTGAGACTGTAATACAGAACTTGGAAAATAACAATTTGGCAAAGAGAAAAAAAAGTAGATCCCCAGGAACTGGGAAGGAACTAATGGGAAAATAAGAAGCTAGAGAGAAGTTGGAAAAATGAACCTTAATTCAGAGAAAAGAATTAGGCCATCTGGAAGCTGACCCCAGCTCTGGGGAAGGAGAACCTGTCTCCACAGGCACAAACAAGGTAATGCCTTGGGTGGGAGCTCCAGGAAGAAATACAACCCCAGCTGACAGCACCAGCCAGAGGAGCCCTGATGTGAACTGCAAAAGCAGTAAGGGGTTTTGCACACATCAGTCAAAAAGGGAGAGGGAACCCACTACAGTGCCTGCTGTATTGCCAGAGGGTGCTTATCAGGTGCTTTTCAGGAAGTAGTTGACAATTTAACACTGAGACTCAGAACAACTAAAAATTCACCTCTGCATTCAAGTGTAACCCTCCCACAGTGACTGGGTGAGAAACAGCCGCAAGAGACAGCAACAGAGAGGATGCAGGGTAGACACAGAAACACGGAGAAGTTTCTGCTGGATCAGGAAGGACACCGGGCATACTCTAAGCAGTGAGAAGGCAGGCCAGCTGGTGTTGCACTCAGATACAGCTGGGTCTGAAAGCGCTGGCAATGGGTACAGCAGGCTGCCTGAACCCTTGCCCCCCGCCTACATCCATCATAGACAAGAAGTCTGGTTGCCTTCTCCATCTACCAATGTGAGCAAGGACACACCTCAGCTTAGCTGGCTGCCACAGCCTGGAGTGAGGCAGCTCACAAATACACAGGCCCTAAAGCTAAGCAGAGAAAAGGATGTCCACTATCACTATCACTACTGTTCAGTACAGATCTTAAAACATTAGCCAGAGCAATCAAGCAAGAGATAGAAATAAAAGGGATATGTATGGGAAAGGACAAATTATCATAACGTGCATGTGACATGATCCTCTACTT